GCCACGGAGGCCCTCCCTGCGCCTCCGTCAGCCGCAGCAGCCAGCGCCCGCCCGCTGTCTTGCCAGGGCGTCCCCACGACCCAGCCGCAACCCCGGCGCGAGGCCCGCACGCGCCGCCCACTCGGGCGTCCGCTCTGAGGCGGTGGCCCCGGCACCAGCTCCGGGGCTTGGGGGCGGGGGCAAACGCAGAGCCCACTCCGTCCGGCCAATCGCGAGCCAGCGCTACGGCGGCGGAGCCAATGAGCGGCGAGCCCCGGCAGGCGGGAGGGAGCCGGACGGGCGGCGGTGGCAGGCGGCCGCCGGGGTGTCTCAGTGCCTTCCCCTTCTCGCTCCCGGCGTGTCGCAGTGCAGCGTCCCCACCCACCCAGCGTCTTGTCTCTTAGCAACCAGATCCCCGGAGCCTGGTCTTAGGTGACCAACGCTAAGTCCAGAAAAAAGGAGGGTATGTGAGAGATAAAGGAACTGGGGTTAGAATAGATGGACTAGCTCGCTGCGCAGGCCATTTTGGTGTATCTTCTTAGGGAGAATGGAAATATATAGGATCTGAGGGAGACCAAAAGGATCTGTGGGAAGCATTGTCTTTCCCAGAAGGTGCCTCTTAAAAATGTAAATAACTCTGGATTGCAGATTCGGTTTTCTGCATTAATAGCGTCAGCGAGTGTGTATTACTATGGTGAATACTACCGGTGGGAACCTAGTAAAATGCATTAAGCTCAATATTGTAAAAGCTGCGTGCAAATATATCAAGTTTTCACTTGGAATATGTCCATCCTAGGAAACAAAATTAAATGTTAAAATCAGAAAGGACAAATAGAAAGTAAAGTCTCTCCAAATAAATAATTACAGTGATGAAATCACACAGAAAGTCAGTTTCTTTTCCTTCCAACCGTGACTGTTGTTCTGAGGACTGAACCCAGGGCCTCAAGCGAGGTGGGGAAGCATTCTAACACTTGAGTTACATCCCCAGTCTTTTTTAAAAAATTGAGCTAAATTTCCCAGGGTAGCTTGAATTTGTAATCTTCCTGCCTGAACCTCAGAATGACCAGGATTAAGATAGGCAAGTTGTGGGCTACAAGTTATTACGTTGTGGTAGTACTTGCCTGTAGTCCGGAGGCTGGAGCAGGAGGATTGCAAGTTGGACCCTAGCCTGGGCAACTTAGTGAGACCCGTCTCAAAATAAAAAATAAGAAAAGGCCTGGGAATGGAGCTCAGTGCTCCCTGGATATGGGGTGAAAAATACCAGGTAAGGTTAATGCATGAAGAATGCCTGCTGTCCTCTTCCTCCCCTTTCTTTCGCACAGGCTGCTATCAGTTGTGACGGTAGTAAGCCACTTCAAGCCATGAGAACAAGAACAACCCATAGGGCAGAGCTGAGCAACAATGTAGAAGGAACCTGGGTCCTGAATTATCTTCTGAAGCAGAGAATACTTCTGGACTTAGATAAGAGAGAAATGCTCATCTTATGATAGCTACTGTATCTTTTTGTCACTTCATTATGTAGCTTACTGTGCCCTAAGAGATAGTTGTCCCTGAAAATGATGTGTAAAAAAATCTAAGATGTACTGTGTATACATGGGTTGGTACGTAGTTAGATGTTGCAGGCTGGTGACTCTTCTCAGGTATTTTGGGGGAAATTGGAAAGCTGATTATGAAATATAACTCTGAGGAAGTGGGTTAAAGACAGTCAAAAGGTGAGTTTGTGTTGGCTATCCCTCCTTGCTTTTAGCAAGGTTCAACCAAAAGAGATGATGTCAGTTAAGAATCAACCGGTTTTCAAGCACAGATGGAAGAAGACAGAGTGCTGCTCCTGGAGCCCTTATATCACATCTGCTTCTGCTGGCAACACACATACTAAGTATCTCTGAGAGTTCAGTTTGGATACATGTTTGAAGCTTTTTGTAATCCTCTTGTCTTTTCACAGTTACATAAAGGCAGAGCTGTGATCTGTGAGAGATCAACTTTTTCAATCTTTTCAGTTTAATGCTCACAGAGAAAGTTTAAGTGGCTTGTTTGGTACCAGGAATCAAACTCAGGACCTTTCACTTGCCAGGCAGGTGCTGGTGATGCTGAACTATATCCCCAGCCCTATATGTGCATTATTATTTATAAATTTATTTGTGGTGAGAACACTTAAAATCTACTCAGCAATTTTCAAGTATATAATACATCGCTATGTTATACAATAGATCTCCTGAACTTATTCGTCCTTATTGAAATTTTCTATCAATTGATCAATATTTCCCCAATCCCCCACTGCCACAGCCTTAGGTAACTGCCATTCTACTTTGTGTTTGACTTTTTTTTGGGGGGGGGGTTAATGCTTATATTTATTTATTTATTTATTTTATTTTAAAGAGTAAAAGAAGGATAACAGTAATAGGGGGGCTTACCAAATTAAAGAGAAAGTGGTAGGAAATTATCAATTGTTGTTTTACATATTGTTATCTACAAGATAGTTTCTCAGGAAAACAAAGACAAATAATAGTGAGCTACAGACAAAAGTGGTAGGTTATTATCAATGGTTGTTGTACAATACTTTGGTATCTTCAAAGTGGTTTCTAAAGAAAATAAATAGAGCTACACATGAGTGACCAATTGAATATTCACTGACTGTTCTCAATGGTTGTTGTAGGAAACACATAGTAATAAACATACATCCATTTACAAAATAGCATAGGAACAATACAAACATTACAGAGTTATGGATAGATTAGTAGGAAAATATCAGTGGCTGTTGTAAGATGTGGTATCTTCAAAATGGTTTCTCAGGAAGACAGAGATATGCAAGAAAGATCTAACAAGTAGTTACAGCCTAAGGGTTGTCAAAAATAGCATATTACCTCCTCACCAGTGACTCCTTTCACTGAGGTGTGATGGCTGGAAGGCAGGCCAGGATTGAAAAGAAGGACCGAGAGACTTGCACCTATGTCTAGCAACAGGCTGTTTTCTTTTTCCTCTATAGTCATGATTACCCAGGGCTCTTTCATGGAGATGACAGTTTGGCCAGAGGGAGAAGGCAGAGTATGTCCCAGGCCCCCTCATTCCTGTTAGACTAACTGGTAGGATGGGTCTGTGCTCTGGGCCCTCCGCTTCAGAGGGCAGACCAATCTCCAGTGGTCTCATCTGCAGTCAGGGCATGGCCTGGGGGGCTTGTTAGGGAAGTTACTCTTGAGGTGGTCTGGCTTTTATTTATTTTTTATTTTTTGGTTTTTCTCCGCTACCGGGAACCAAACTCACGACCTCACACATGCCAGGCAGGCGCTTTGGCCGCTGAGCTAAATCCCCAGCCCCTATGGTCTGGCTTTTAACAGTGGTAGCAGATGAATGCCGTCGTGGAGTTCTTGGGGCCCTGAGAAGCAGACTTAGGATTTGTTTCTCTTAGTGCTGCAGCAAAAGCAGCTGCTTTTTCTTGGTCTCTTTGTTTTCTCTCCTTGGCCTCCTCCTCACAGCTATAGAATACTGAGGGGGCAATCCTTACTAACATCTCAAGTGAACCATCTGGGGCAAAAGCCATTTTTTGTAGCTTTTTCTCTCCAGCCTCCTGGCGCATTGGGACCCCACAACCACTTAGTGTCCTCTCCCCAACCGTCAGCACAGGCAGCAGGAATCTCAGTGCAGACCTCTCTGGAGCTCCACGTGCTCCTCCACCGCAGCCTGTACTGTCAGGGGAAGAATGGCTTCCAGGGGGTCTCTCCAGGTATTGTGCAAGGTCCTCCTGGTTTACAGCTTGCAAATGGCTCTCGTGACCCTGGTCAACTAGACCTCTGAGTCTTTGGGTGTAGCCTGTATTCTCATGTTCTCCGAGTCCTTGTTGAGCAGCTGCTCCTCCACTGACTCCGGACCTTTCTGGTTCTCAACAGCAGGAGCAAGAGCGGTGTGTTGTGTGGCATGTACTCCCAGGGGTTTCTCCATGTCGGGATGATTCACGCATGTCCCCGGGTGGGTCTCTGTGGCAGACGCATGGGGGGCCAATTGTGTCATTGCTTCTCTGTGCCATGATAGTTCTCAACCAAGCGGCAGCGGCTGGCCTGAGGGCCGGTGTGTGCCAGTGCTCCCTGCTGCATGGCTTCCCAGGTGCCAACCGCCCACCTCCCAGGTACCTGCACGGCTAGGGTCTGGCCCAAAGGCTGGCACTCCCTGCCATGCACATTTGACTATTAAGATTCCACATATGAGATCATGTGGTATTTGTCTTTCTGTTCCTTAGTTCATTTAGCATAGTAGCCTTCAGATTCATCCATGTTGTTCGATTGATTTGTTGTTGTTTTGAGACAGGGTTTCTCTATGCAGTTCAGGCAGGCCATGAACTCACTTTGTAGCCCAACTTGGCCTCAAACTTGCAGTGGTCCACCTGTCTCAGCCTCCCGAGTGCTCGGATTACAGGCAGACCCCACTGTGCCCAGCTCCATGTTGTTATAAATGACAGGATTTCCTTCCATTTTTATGTCCAAATACTATTTATTCTGTTGTGTATATGCACATTTTCTTTATTCCCTTGGTGGACACTTAAGTTGACTCTGCATCTTGGCTCTTATAAATAATGCTGCAGTGAAAGCAGCAGTACAGATAGCTTTTTGACAGACTGATTAATTACCGAGTAATGGGATTGCCAGATCACATATTGGTCCTATTTTTACTTTTTTGAGGAACCTCCATAGTGTTGCATAATGGCTGTACTAACAATGCCACAATAGCATCCAAGGTCCCTTTTCTCCTCATTTCCTCATTCTGATAAGAACTGTTCCAATAGGTGTGAAGTAATACCGCATTGTGGTTTGGACTTACATTCTCTGATAGAATGATAGTCATGTCAAGCATTTTTTCATGTACCTGCTGCATGTTCCAGAATCACATGCATCATTTCTGTTTATATCCCATTGGCTAGAACTAACTATGAAGGAGAATTTAACTTGGCAGTATGGACCCTGAGCAGCTATGGGGTTAACTAGAATATGGGAGTTCTACTTGTAAGTTATGGTACAATGAATACTGATGGTCAATTAGCAATAGACTAATAGGCCAATAGACCAATTTCGAGGATTATAAACTACTATTCAGAGCTCTATTCTCGACTTTCTGAGACTACTTTAATTTTGAAAACATTGTTTTTTAAAGTTTTGAGACTGGGCCTTGCTATGCAGAACAG